TCTGAGTTTTAAAGTCTTCTATTTCAGCCCTCAATGAGAAGATATCAAAAATTCCTACAAATAATCCTTTTTAATTTTAGCTAACCGAGCAATTCAAATCTTTCAAAATTATTTGATGAATTCTTCAGGGAAATTAGCTGCTGCTTACTAAAAGAGTGTCCAGCAAAAGAGAACAACAACAAAAATTACACAAAACAAGGTGTGCAAATATGCACGTGAGGAAGATAATGCCACCCTGCTTCCCCATGCCTGGTAAGGATCTCCCTAGCAAACCAGATATCACAAAAGAACCTGAGTTCCCAACCCTGGCCAACACACTATTTCTCTCCCAGAGTCCTCTTAGGAAGGTTGGTACAAAAACAGTCAATTCATTGATTTGGTGTGCAGTTAACTCTATCCTTTGCAGGTGATTGGGAGGGGAAAAAAAATGCAATGATTAGCAATTTTCTGTTTCACACAGAGGCTACTCCAGCACTCTCATTGACTAATAAGAAAATAAAAATCTCAAGGACAGGTTCAGAGAAACATTTATTAGCAGTGATTTCCCAAGCTTCGTAGTCTGTGGAGACTCTAAAGATCCCATAATCGAAGGCTGAAGGCTAAATCCCACTAGGGATTTAGGACGGCACTGCTCTTGACAAGGGTGGGGCCCCTCAGAAGATGAAATGCTCCATATTCTCATCCCATTAGGATCGACGGATTTCCATCTCAGTTGAACAAATAATTGTTGCTGTTCAGCGCCGCTGAGTCGGTTCCTACCCAGAGCGACCCTGTATAGGGTTTTCGAGGAGCAGCTGGTGAGCTTGAACCACCAACATTGCAGTTCAAATAGACTCTGCAGTCCAGTGCGTTAACCCACAGCATCCCGCCAGAACAAATAATAAAAACGGTTTTATTTACCCCAACTGTGAGCCACTTGTTTACTTTGGGATGTCATATCAATACAGTAAGAGATAGAATGAAGGCTTTTCTGTGCTTAAAATACAGCCGCTGGTCCTGCACTCCCTAACTGCCACAACCCTAAAACCACCACCAAACAAAGAAAGATGGGCTGTGCGTTTGCTACTGTCTGCTTTGCCTTTTCCCTTTAGGTCTGTATTAGGGAGAAGCAAAGGCAAGCAATTAAGGGAGAGGGCTTAAGGAACATTCGTTTAAAGAAAACAAGTGGAATGCTTCGCCCTCTAGAACCTCATCATGCCTCCTCCAGACGCTAATCCTCACTGCCATCATGCAGAAAAGGCTGAGGATGTCTCATAGAAAAAGCTCTGAGCGGTTACAGCAAAGTGAGATTTCTGAACCTTTCAGCAACATCTGAGTCACAGCCTGGTGAAGAATCAATTTTATGACTAAGAGGTTTCCTGTGAACATCAATGGCTACTTTTGCTTCACGAAAACAAAAAATGAAACAAACAAAACAAGATTTGTTAGTATTAAGGCAACCTTCTTACCTGAAGGATTGTTCACACCAAAGCCCGGTATAGCCTCCCTCCCGCCCCAAGGGGTGCTAGGAACCAGCACAGAAAGGCAAATTTCAGAAGCTTTCCCGACAAACACAAGTCAGGGATAAGGGGTTCAATGTGCAAAGTCTTTTATTCAAAATTGTGAAAAGTTAAGACTTACGGCCACCTCAGTACAGACCATTCCACTACATGGGGGAATGGCGACTTCCCATGAAAATGCAAAGCTGCATTCTCATCACAGAACTCTGGAGGCACTTTAGAAGTGAAGCCCTGGCTTCAAAATACAAACACTGGGGGCTTTGGCTTAACTTTTTAATATAAAAAATTCACTGATGTACAAAAATGTGAAAGTGTGACAATGACAACATATGAAATTTTGTGACTGAAAGTCCCCTCGAGTGCACTCTGAGGTGCACATGTACCCGCCCACACACACTTTGGCGTGGAAACATAAACGAATGCAAACCAGTGCTACCAAGAAGCGTCAGCATGTGTGTTCTTCATCCCACCAATCACAGACCAGTATCTATTCCAAACAGTCCAATAATAAGAAGTACGGCATCTTCCCAGGAACGGCAAGGCAGACTTCTTACTCACGATGGACCAGTACAAATAAACCCAGTAAAAAGAGGACTGCATACTAGAAAATAAACAGAATCACAAGTCAGAGTAGCTCTTCACAGCTCATAAGCCCTAAGAATTAAGAAACTGGCCCTATGGACCAAGAGACTGTATTAAACCACTAATGATTTGTTCATCTTTTAACTATAATCTCTTGACTGGTTTCTAAAATTAAGCAAAAGACCCATTTTTTAATGAAACACATAGTACCTTAAATTTAGGATAGTCATTCATAAGGATTGTCACAATTCCAATGTAAGGAACAAATCTGGAACAAAACAAAGAGATCACAGAACTTTCTAAGTAAAACAGACACTATCATTTACTAACACCACTTTTCAGTTCACAAAGTCCACTGGTGTATACAGTCATGTACTACACAGCTCCTGTTTGGACAATATCCAACTATGTATACATTTGTATACAGGTAGTCCCAGGTTCCGAACCCCGGACTTACGTACAAACTTCCATAAAGCCTATAACAGGAAGTGCCTGGATTACGAATGAACTCTGTTACTACATCTGTTTTTAAGTTGAAGTTGTATAGAAGTCAGAACAGTTAGGTACCTTTTGTATTTAACATCAATCAAATATTTGTCTTAGTATACAGTGTACCTTTTAATGAATAAAGAAAAACTAAAGAAACATTTGTTATATTAAGACATCTTTAACATACAACAATAATAATAATAAAAATAACATTTTGATACGTGCTGCAAAGCAGTGCCCATTTGTTTATCATGAACCACTGTATGCACCTGGAATCTTTAATACAACTGGATTTATGGGGTTGCTTCATAATCCTGGGCTGTACATACGTCAGATGTGTGCAACTCAGGGACTGGCTGGACATGGTGAAACAACAGCCAATCACATCACTTCCCATTCCACAAAATGCACGTGACTACAATGCCATGTCTGATCTTTTCAACAGACCATGTGACAGGGAAATTAGGAATTATCACCATTTTATAGACGAGGAAGCAGATGATTATGCCTAAGGTAAACAGCTTCTGTGTGGTAGAACCAGTACTGGATTTGAGGTGTGAGACCTCTGATTGGTGAATAATGCTACAGACAGGCTGATACCGCGTTAGGAGCTGGGTATGTTGTCATAACCTTCAGGAAACTGTAACATGACAAACACAGCCAGAACATTGCAAGGTACTTCACGTTAAGTTTTTTAAAAGTGATGGAAAGAACTCTATTATGGTACTTAACATTTCACCACCCTGCCACACACACACACTACTTGTCATATGGTTTTGGCTGTCTTAATCCTGAAACTTTTTCTAGAATTTTTAATCACCATATGTAACAGACCAGTCTTAGTCCATATCTTCCTATTCATCTCTACCACCCACATCCTTTATCTTGAAATCCCATTCTCCTTGCTTTTTATAGCACAGTACAAAGCTGTTTCTTTAAAACCTATTTTGTTTTTGATCCCTGGCTCTTTCCCTCTTGCCCCTAAAGTCTATCTCGCCAAACGAAGACAGAGCTCCTCTTAAACAATCTCATAGCACCTTTAACCTTTAGGGTTCCTTTGACGCTTTTACCACAATTTAAATTAATTTGCGATACAATTAGCTGCTTAGACTTTGTCTTCCTTGGTGGTGGTATACTGCAGAGTCAGTTCTGACTCACAGCAACCCTGTATAGGGTTTCCGAGGCTGTAAATCTTTATGGGAGTAGAGATCCTCATCTTTCTCTTGTGAAATGGCTGGTAATTTTGAAGTGCTGACCTTGAGGTTAGCAGGCCAACTTGTAACCACTATGCTACCAGAGCTCCTTACGACTATAAATTACAAGGGCAAAAACAATGTTAATCTTGAGCGTACTATCTCTTTCAGAGAGATGAACTGGCAAAGTGGCAGCATCAATGGGCTCAAGTATGGCAACAATTGTTGAGGTTGGCCCAGGACCAGGCAGCATCGCTACGAGTCAGTAACGACTCGATGGCACCTAACAACAACTATCTCTTCAAGACCACATACCTCTTTCTTTTCTCTTTCTCTTGGGGATCTCATTTTCTCCTAAAGCCTTAACCCTACCCTCAATGCAAAGACTTCCCAACATTCTAAGAATTCAGGGGGAGGAAAGAAAACTGGTGGAGCTTATGTGCTGTGAAGTTGGTTCCGACTCACAGTGACCCTGTATAGGGTTCCCGAGGCTGTAAATCTTTACGGAGTGGAAAGCCTCATCTTTCTCCTGTGGAGTGGCTGGTAGATTTGACCTGCTGACCACAAGCAGCTCAGCTTGTAATCCACTGTGCTACCAGAGTGGGAGGAAAAGGTGGTTAGCAAAGGTACAACTTCTTTTCCTTCTCTTGTACTGCTGGACTTAGTGGCCTGGGTGATTCACACCAGGCTAGTGCATGGGGGAGATGGAAGCTGCTTAGTGTCATCCCTACAGGCCAGACCTTGGGACCTACAAATGCAATGCACCTGGGATCACCTGTCCCCAACTGGCCTTTGTTCATTTCACAGCATTGAGACCTGTATGTGGTCTAACCCCTGGCTGAATGGATGGAGAAACTGAGACCCAGGACACTGTACAGACAGGGAAACTGAAGCCTAAACAGTCTGCTGTTCATCTTCAGTTCCTCAGGGACTCTTCCCAGGGAGGACCAGCTAGTCTAGCAAGCCACTGATGCCAGGCAGAGTTAGACAGAATTCTAACAGGTGATAGGACAAGGCCTGCTGGGTGAGAAGACGGGGGCTCAGGCTAAGGTTGACAAACTGCCTAAAACGGGAACCCCTCCTCACTGCCATGGACATCTCCAGGAGATGATGCACTACAGGGGCCTGGCTGAGCTCCTGAAAAAGTAGACACTCAATGAATAGAAGATTATTAAGGAAAAAATGTAAAAACCAGATTGGTGGTACTCTATTAGGCCTGTCCTAGCAAGGGCGGTTGGGCGAAGCGGAGACTGATCTTTGCAGACTTTATAACTAACCTGATACCTTGACTCAGGGCATCCACAACCCCGGCATCATGCCAAAGGGGCACAGACAGTAATACAGCCCACACTGCACTGCCACCATCCAAGACTTCAGCAAACTTGAAAAACAGACATTTTGTTTTTGGTACCTTTCATCTAAGCAAATTTTTCTCTTCTTAATACAACAGCTCTGTGCTTTATTTTGCCTCATTTCCAATACCCCCGTAAGGCAATCACTTCCAGAGAAGGTAAAGCATCATTATTTAAGAACACGAAAGATTTTTGTCTGACAAATACCCTACAATAAAGTGCAGAGTAAAAGCTATAAAAGCATCTGTGGAATTAAAAAAAAAAGCACCTGTGATTTCTATTCAATAAAACAAAAAACAATATGGTTTTGGATGATAATCCCTAGCAGTCATTCTCATGGATGGAGACTTGCTTTGTCGTCTCTGCAGTAACAGCAACGCCCAAAGTACCCTAAGCTCTGGCTGCCAGCGAGGACACAGGCTATTTCTGAGCTATCTATGGAAACTATTTTTTTTAAACGTTGACTTTTCCTGCCCACTTGAAGTGAAATGAAAGCTACTTGATCTTTAGTAACAATCTAAGCGAAGCTTAATGCTATAAGAAGTCCAAGTCAAACAAATCCTTTTCTCTCATGGACAGAGACAGCACACAGCAGTTGGTAATCAAGTGCACGGCACGGCTGGCATCAGTCCTCGTCAGTTCCTCTCGGGGGCACTTTGCTCCTACTTGGCTCAGAGAAACCCATGCTAAAGCAGAACTTGCTAATAAGCAGACCAAGGTGTAAATCAGTAAAATAAATGCTATCCACAAAGTCAACTCCAACACCAACTTGTGCCAAGTTGGCATCTAGAAAGCAGACTGCGGTGAAATACAACTTCCTGGGAATTGGTGGTTGGGATTATCATAACTGCTGAGGAAACAGGCTCCGAAAGAAGGTCTTATCTGCTGATGTCTGAATAGGGATCATTAAGCAACAGGCCAAAAGAAAAGGAAAAAGACAGCCATAAAATTTAAGAGGAGACCCCAGCACAATTCTGACAGATGTAAAAGGGGGTCTATATCTGGGAAGTATGGACCCTTCCAGTAGTCAACTTAATATGAGAATATGCAATGACCAAAACAGGATTATTTTGTTTTTAATCCCAGAATAACCTGTTTCAAGTTACATGAAAGTAAGTTTTAAAAAAAAGCCTTATCTGTACAATGAACTTCAGTGTACAGAGGGTTCACGACACTGCTTCCTTATATTTTGATTCTTTCCTACATGGTGGTCAGTATCTCTTTGTTCCTGATCTTTTGCTAGATGTTCTCTACCTTCCTTTATCGATTTTCTGGATTTAACACCTTCCTGGATTTAGAGAGAAACATCTCTATTAAACGCTTTATTGGTTCAGCATAATTTTCATTTTCCAAAATGATTTTTTATTATATACTACAATGTGGATGAACCTTGGAAAATTATGCTAAATGAAAGAAACCACACACATAAGGCTACATGTTATATGAGTCCATTATATGAAGCATTCAAACAAGCAAATCCAGACACACAGAAATGTGTCTTGGTGGTGAAATGGTTAAGTGCTCAACTGTTAACCAAAAAGTTGGCAGTTCGAACCCACACAGCAGCTTTATGGCAAAAAGACCTGCGTATCTGCTTTTGTACAGAGGAGCGCCCAAAACCCTACCAGGCAATTCTACTTTGTCACATGGGGTCACCTAACAATAACAACATAAAGACAAAAAAAACAGATTAATAGTTGCCTAGGGCTGGAGTGGGAGGGACACTGGGGAGGGGAATCAAGGAGATGAATGTGTTCTTGAATTAGTGGTGATGGTTGCACAACCTTATGAATATACTAGAATCCATGATATTATAAACTTTAAAATGGCAAACTGCATCTCAATATATGTGAACTAGCTCAATAAAAAACTTGGGAAAAAATCCCCCCCCCCCCCAATTGTCTGAAATTTCTATAACTTTGCTCTGAAGATGGTGATGAACAAGGCCTCAAACTGTTTCAAAACTATTCTCACAAGCACTTTAGGAATACAGAGGGTGAAAAAAAAATTGTTTTAATTTAGGGTTTCAATGTGAATTGTTTTAGTGTGCAGCTGTTGGAAAACACAGTTTTAAAAATGCATCAGGACATTTGTATCATAGTCACAGACTTGCCTGTGACTGTCCTCAAGGCTTGAGTACAGCCTGACTTCAAAACCTGAGCTTTAATGCCTTGCAAACCCAATTTCCACAAGGTGATCTGTCCCAACATGTTTCAAGGTAACTGATCTAGTCAATAGAAAGGGAATTTGGGAAGTTAAGATTCTATGTGCCTACTCTTCAGGTCCCAGGTGCTTTATATTTAATGGAAAGTTACTAAACTCAGCGAACTAGGTTTTTATTATTATTATTATTAAAGCCACAAAAGGCCTATATTTTCACTGCTGCGATTTTTTAAATGGCATTGTAACAATTTGGGATTTTTCAGAAATTCATGAGGAAGACAAGTTACTTGAGCAAGAGAACACCTCCTCTGACGTTTTGCATGACAATGCATCTTTACCCAGCCAAGGAGCCAGAGTCAGCAGAGACACCAGTATTCAACACTTAGGAGCGAAAACCCCAATAATGGCCTCCCCCCCCCCCCCCCCCCCCCCCCCCCCGCTATGCTGGCAAGAATAGAAATAAAACAGTATGACAAAGTTTATCAAAAGCCTTATAATGTGCAGCATATACCTTCTGCAGCAATTACACTTCTAGGAATTCACCATATAGAAATGACTGTGCAGAGGCCAGGAGCTACACTGACCAGGATGGTCAAATACCAGCTCTCTTCATATACAAAATCTATTTATATACGTATGTATATTTGTGTATTAATATCTGCTTCTTTCTCTGTGTATATAAATAAAGATTAAAGGAATATATGACAAAAAAAAGTGAGCAGTACAACCACTCCTCGATTACTGGCATGGTCATACGCAAAAATGGAGGATGACCACATCAGATCACAGAATGGAAGATGACTTCATCAATATCTAACTGTCAAATCACATCATTACACAACTGTCAAACCACAAGACTCATGGGAGTCCTGGTGTGGCACTGTGTGTGTGTTTATTGGCTGGACTGCAAGATTGGTTTGAACGGCAGGGTTGTCAGTTGATACTCACCAGTCATTCCTCGGAAACCCTATACAGGGTCGCTATGGGTCAGAACTAATTCAACAGTATTTAACAACAAACAACATCACAGCGAGTATTACTCTCACCTCAGCATTCATTACTGATGTGAATGGGTACAACAGTCACGTAGTGGCTTTTATACGATGGTTGTAAATGTGAAATGTGGATAATGAGGTAGTCAGTTAAGTGGGGAGTAGGTGTGACTATTTATGGAAGGGAGGAGAGAAGTGTCTTTATCTTGTGATGGTTTGTACTTTCTTATGTTTCTACCTAAATCTGTACAGATAAACAAAAAACAAAATGACTCAAAGAGGTTGATGAGTTTGTAGAACCACCTGAGCAACATCCTGGGACCTGAGGCACTGATGACTTCATTTGGATTATATAAGTATGTTTTGCTCCAGGATGGCAACAGATAGTCTCCAGAACTGGAAACACGCACCAAAACCCCCCAGCTCTGCAGGGGAGACGTAACACAGTGCTGTTTGCTCTGGTCTGATCTCGAGGGCCCCCAAGTAAGCAGCTTTCATGTTGGGATGGAGGCAGCTTTGACTTAGTAACTCACACTTGCTTCTCTACAGGAGCAGAGTGATCAGTGTGGTGGCCTGTTCCCTAGTGTATTACCTCTGTATCCAAGCTGTCTGTTCTAGGCCAGGAGGTGCAGATGTGCGGACAGTCCTAAGAGTGCCATGTGGCATCTAAATAGTGAAAACCAACAGTTACCTATTCCAGAAATGCTAGGCCAGTACTTTTACTGTGATGGTTGAGAGGGGACACTCTGAAGTCATACAGCCGTTTATTAGCAATGTGACCTTAGATAAGTAACCCAGCTCACCTACGTTTCCTCATCTGTGAAATGCGAACATTAGGGTGCTCCGAGGTTAAAATGAAGTAATACTTGTAAAGCACTTAGAATGACAGCTTCTGGCAAACAGTGAGCCCTAGTAACTGTGAGTTGTTAGTACTATTAAAAACACTTAGGCAATTCCTGTCCTCCACTGATCTGTTCTCCTGACAAAATCTGAAATATACAGGCTTACTATAATTTTTACATTTCATTTGACCTCATCAATTTTAAGACTAGGAATAAATGAACACGATACATGTATGAACATTTTAAGGGGTTCACGCAGTAAAACTTTAAGAAGTACTAAGTTTCGCAAAGCAGGATGACTTACAATATCGAAAGAAGAGCACAACATGTAAAGCGTCCAGCAGTTTCTTTACTGAACTGAATAAACAAATGAATGGTTAAAACTGCCATATGCAATTCATCATCTCACCATGCATATTCTAGGATTTGCGTGCATCTCAATTCCGCCTCTCAGGATTCGGATAACTGAGGTTTTTGATATATTTTTTTAAAAGCACACTTAGTCCAAGAATACAATGGAGATTTGGCAGCACTGAAACCAAAGCACTATGAGGAATACATCTGACGAGACAATTACAGTCGACCAGGCTATGTTTTAAGTGACATTAGAAAAAGCTCAAGAATGGTTTCCTTCTATACTTACCCCCTTGCTCTTCCCACAACGTCTTTTTTCTCTAGCCAATGTTGTCCTTGTTTATACAGGCCTCGGTCATCAACTGCATTATTATCTCCTTTGGTCAAAAACTTGATGTGTCCATTTTGCCTTAAAAGAGTAAGGGAAACCCAACTAATCAAAAACCTTCATGCTGTTTGAAAGCACAAAATTTGTTGTCAACCAAAAGTTACTGTGGTATTTTATCACCCATTCCTAATCTCCAAATAATTAATTTACTCAACTGATGTTCCTAGCTATGTTGATTACAATAGGGAAAGACTAAACAAATTAAAAGCCCAACAATGAGAAGTCAAAATACAAGGGGGCTTCAAAAAGTTCATGGAAAAATTCCACTACTTTTTGGTTTTTTTTTTTTTTTTGAAGTTTTTATTGTGAACTGAGTGATAGTTTACCTGGGAGAACATCAGCTTTAGATCATCGTGTACACAAACACATTCAGGAATATATAATAATTTAAACAACCAAAGGGCACATTCTGCAAGCCTGCTTCCTGGCTTCCAGTACCCAGTCCCTCTCCTTCCATGAGTCTAGAGTCCTCAGCTGCTCCCTCTCTCCATGTCCTCATCTCTGCCTCCATCTCTGGTGTCACTGCTTCTCTGGATAGGGTCCCACATTCCTCCTGTGCTCTTCTCCCTTGATGGTCCTAGGGTCCTCTGTTTCTGGACTGTAAGATTAACTACTCCCCCATTTTTGTTACAAAACTTCTACCTTTACAGTTGTGACAGTAGCAATTAGTCATGATAAAAATTACTCACTGCTGAATCACAAGAATCCCATACCCATTTCCTTTCACCAGACTCATCTAGACAAGATGGAAATTATTCAGTGGGGATTCTATCTTCTCCCGAACACTCTTATACTAAACTCCCTCTTGAGAACTTGTAAGCCAGTCACTTCTGCCTCTATTGTCCCATCATTTTAAGTAGCTAATGTCTTAGTTGCTAGTTCCTATCTACTCTGTATACAGAGAGGACAGGATTGATACTTGATATGAAGACTCTTTTCCTCTTAGTTGGAACCTTGAGCGAGCTACTACATCCATAAGTATAAGTCAAGTTCATCAAATTGTAGCAATTTACACTTGTGCCTTCATCAAAAGAATTTTTAAAAAAATCTTTCTCTAGTCGAGTTCTGATTATCTAGCCATCGAGGCTAGGTCAGATGAGTACTATCTGCAAGTTTGGGCGTTCTTGTGTGTTTCCCCTCACTTCATACCAGCTGGATGCTTCACTCTTCCATTATCTTTTAATTCCATTTTTCCACGAACTTTGTGAAACCTTCTCGTACTATGCAAGCATTTAAAAAGAATGTTTTTAAAATAAAGAATTTATAACATTCACCAAAGTAGAGCAGTATATAATGAGTTCTCACATACCTATCATCCTATCCCAACATTTATGAATGTATGGTTACTTCTGTTCCATCCATACTTCTTTCCTCTCTATTTTAAACAAATTCTATACATCATATGTCATCAGTAAATGTTCGCATAAATACCAATAAAACATAACCACTTAAAAAAAAAAACATAACCACAATTAGCATGGTTATGCCTAAAAAGAAATGACATTGAAAGATATTCATCATACCAAGACCAAACCAAACCTTCTGTTATGAAGTCAGTTCTGACTCATGGCGACCCTATGTATATTACAGAATCAAACTGCTTCACAGTTTTCTTAGCTGCACTCCATACAGACCCAGACTTGCAAGGCCTTTCTTCTGTGGTGCCACCGGGTGGGTCTGAACTGCCAACCTTTAGGTTAGTTCCTGTTGTTATGTGCCATGGAGTCGGTTCTGACTCAGAGTTTCCGAGGCTGTAAATCTTTATGGGAGCAGAAAGCCTCATCTTTCTCCCGCGGAACAGCTAGTAGTTTCGAACTGCTGACCCTGAGGTTCGCAGCCCGATTTGTAACCACTACGCAAGGTTAGTAGACGAGTGCAAATTGTTAGTACCACCTGGGGAAACTCATCATGCAAATTTCACAAACAGCATGAACAGTATATATTTTTTTGCATTAAAATATAGACAAACTATGAATTTTCTGGAAATACAGAGAGCACAGGCACATGTTACACTACCCCACAGGATATAATTGGCAGAGTAGACTGTGGGAAACTACAGAATTGCCCAGTCTCTTCAACAATAAATTGCAAGGAAAAAAGAAAACTGAAGGAATCTAGAGATTAAACAAGAGACTTTCAAGCCATAGCAACCAAATGTATCTAATGTCCTTATTTTGACCTGGATTCAAACTGTTAAAAACAATGATCAATATTGGATATTTAATGACACAAAGAAATCACTGGTTTTTTTTTTTAAAGCGTAACTATGTTAATTGGTATATTAAAAAAATCTGTGATTAATTTTTAAAACCATTTGATTGTCAATTGAATGACAGGTTACAGACAAGAGCATCCGTTTTACATTCAGCAAATCCTACACTTGGCTTCAGCTCAATGATGTAATCCCCGCTATGAAACATCAGCTGTCGCGCTTCCTCTGTATGCTGCTCATTTCCATTCCACCCTCCTCCCCAAGCCCTCTGAACTTTGTCCTTAGGTAAATGCTGCCTTGTGATCTTGAATGGCTGCTCATTCCATGGTAAGCAGACCTCACTAGTGCTGTTGTCTCCCTGATATACTCATCTACTGCTTGGCTGAAAACTGACCCATGAGGGTGAGTTTGGTTTTAGATCTGAAGGGTGGCTGAGGACCACAGTCTCAGGTTCCTCTGATTACGTTTTAAAGGTATTTATGAAAATATTTACAGATGAAATGTGATGTCTAGGATTAGATTCAAAACAGAGGAGAAGGAAGCAGGAGTGTGGCCAGGGCAGAATGACCATAGATGAATTCAGGAAGGAAAGTGCAGATGTTTTCCGCTCTAACAAAGAGCAGAAAAGTGGTAAAGCTGTACCCTGTCAGAGGCAGGAAACCTGGGAGAGCCAGTTAAACAAGGCAGTTTCATTGAGTTCAGACTCAACAGGTTTCACTGTATTTTTCACTCACGGAGATCAGAAAACCTGGGAGTCGCAGGCCAAACTCGGCAGTCCCACTGAGTTTCAGCAACAACAGGTTTTACTGTGTCTTTCACTAATAGACAGTGACAGGAAAGTGTCAAAGGCAGAAAGCTCGGGAGTCCCAGAAGCACAAGGCAGTTCTGTCATGTTCCGGCTCCAGCGGGTTTCATGGTAACTACTGGGGCTGAGTGAAAGGTACACAGCAAAGCATTACACTGTTTTATTTTTGTGAATGTCAGACATTCTCCAAATTAAAAAAAAAGCACAAAACAGTTATTAAACAAGATCTAAAATAATATAAACCAGTGTATAAACAGTTGTTTGCCTATGACTTTCTGTTTAAAAAAAACTTTTATAGTTTACATGGGAGAACATCGGTTTTGTACTCAACCTATTGTATTTTGTTTCACTGCAAAGATTCCAATCATGCATGCATCATTGGTTAACAGTATTTGCTTCTATTCCGATTGTTGTTTTTCTGATGTACACAAAAACAAGCAGGAATATATAACCATTTAAACAAACAAGGATCCGTTCTGCAAGCCAGCCTCCTGGGTGCCAGCATACAGTCTTTCTCTTTCCTTGAGTTTAGAGCTCTCAGTTGCTCTATCTCTTCATGTCATCACCTCTGCTTCTATCTCTGGTGTCCCTGCTACTCTGGTTTGGGTCCCTCACTCTGCTCATGTTCTTCTCTCTTGATGGTCCTAGGGTCCTCTATTCCTGGAATGCAAGATTAACTACTTCCTCCTTTTGGGTACTCACCATCTACCTTTATATATGTGACAATCGCATTAACAATTACTCACTATTGATTCAAATGAGCTCTATCGCATCTCCTTTCACCAGGCCCATCAAGACACGATGTAAACTATTCAGTGGGGATTCTACCTTCCTCAGCATACTCTGAAACTAAACTCTCTCTTGAAAACTTGTAAGCCAGACATTTCGTGTCCTTATAGCCTCCTCATTTTAGGTAGCCAATGCCTAAGTTGCCTGTCCCTATCAACCCTGTATACAGAGGGGATAGGTTTGATCCCTGATATGAAGACATCTTCCGTCTCAGTTGGTATTTTGAGCTAGTGCATCCACAAATATAGGTCACGTTCATCTCACTATAGCAATTTACACTTGCTTCCTTTATCAAATTTTTTTATTGTCCTCAAATCGAGTTCTGATGTGGTGCTGTGGGTTAATGCGCCAGACTGCAAAGCCGTTTGAACTGCAAGGTCAGCAGTTCAAGCTCACCAGCTAGCTGCTCCTCGAAAACCCTATACAGGGTCGCTATGGGTCGGAATCGACTCGACAGCACTTAACAACAACAAAAACAGTCGAGTTCTGGTCATCAAGCCATTGAAGCTAGGTCAAATGGGTTTACCTGCAAGTTTGGGCTTTCTTGTGTGTCTCCCCCCACTTTGTAACAGCTGGACGCTTCACTCTCAGCTCTAGTCCTCCAAGGCTTGGTCATTGTTCATGGGCTCAGGAGTTCCTAAGTTTCTCCAAACTTCAGAGCAAGCAGTTCTTCTTTTTCTTTCTCTCATCATCTCAAGGTCGACAGATGTGTATGGAACGTGGTCGAACTCGGCCCTTATCTTCATTGCTGACTTTCCCCCACTTCCACTCACATGTAGACCACCAATGTGGTCACCTATGAGCTTACATGCCTGCTCATGTGATCCTTTTCAGCGTCAGTCTTGGAACTGGGTTTGTCCTGAAGGGACGTGACTGCTTGCCTTGATGGCTCCCCAGCAAACAGCTTGCTTGTTCTTGTAGTAGCCAGACTGTTGTTTTTGCTTTTCCCTGCTGGTCTTTCTTTCCGGATGTACCTTCTGTTCCTCTAGCCCCTCTGGTCTGGTCTGCATGTTCTTTTAAGTGGGAATGTGCCATCCACTTCAGAAGATTCTGGATGGGGCTCAGGATCCCACCTAAGGTCCTATACACTGCAAAGGCTCTCTAAGAAACCTGTTTTACTGGGCAAGTTCTAACCCCTTTTAGGTATTCTAATCAGTTATAGGCTGAAGACGGGCTTACAAACTTTCTGTAATCATATTTCTCAATATGCCTTTC